AGAGGAGGCATATTCTAGGTAGTTGTGGGAGTCGGTAGGCTTGAAATAGATATCGGTTTCCAGGTGGTTGCCAGAGATGGAAACAGAGAGGTCCAGGAAGGAGAGAGAGGTATCGGAGATGGTCCAGGTGAACTTAAGGTTGGGGTGGAAGGTGTTAGTGAAGTGGATGAACTGTTCAAGCTCCTCGTGGGAGCACGAGGCGGCGCCGATACAGTAATCGATATAACGGAGGAAGAGGTGGGGGATAGGGCCAGTGTATCTTCGGAAGAGGGGTTGTTCCATGTATCCTACAAAGAGGCAGGCATAGCTTGGGCCCATGTGGGTACCCATGGCCACCCCCTTTGTCTGTAGGAAGTGGGAGGAATTGAAGGAGAAGTTGTTAAGGATGAGGACGAGTTCAGCTAAGCGGATGAGGGTGTCAGTGGAGGTGGACTGGTCGGGCCTGCGGGACAGGAAGAAGTGGAGGGCCTTTAGGCCATTTGCACGGGGAATGCAGGTGTATAGGGACTGGACGTCCATTGTGAAGATGAGGTGTTGGGGACCAGAGAATCGGGAGTGTTGGAGGATGTGGAGGGCGTGGGTAGTGTCACAGACGTAGGTGGGGAGTTGTTGGACCAAGGGGGAGAAAATGGAGTTGAGGTAAGTAGAGATATGTTCGGTGGGGCAGCAGTAGGTGGAGATAATGGATCGACCAGGGCAGTCAGGTTTGTGGATTTTGGGAAAGAGCTAGAAGCGGGCGGTGCGGGGTTGGGGAACGATGGGGTTGGAGGCTGTGGGTGGGAGGTCACCTGAGGTGATGAGGTTGTGGATGGTCTGTGAGATGATGGTTTGGTGGTTGGTGGTGGGGTCATGATCAAGGGAGCGGGAGGAGGAGCTGTCAGAGAGCTGGCGTTTGGCCTCGGCGATGTAGAGGTCAGTGCGCCATACTACAACTGCGCCTCCCTTGTCCGCGGGTTGTATGGTGAGGTTGGATTTGGAGCGGAGGGCTGCCCGTTCTGTGTGGGAGAGGTTGGAGTGGGTGAGAGGGGTGGAGAGGTTGAGGCGATTGATGTCTCAATGGCAGTTGGAGATGAAGAGGTCGAGGGAGGGTAGGAGGCCTTGGGGTGGTGTCCAGGAGGAGGGGGTGTGTTGGAGGCGGGAGAAAGGGTCAGTAGAGGAAGGGTTGGGCTCACAATTAAAGAAGTAAGCGTGGAGGTGGCGGAAAAACTGTTCAATGTCCAAGCGTGAGCAGTATTCGTTGATGGTAGGGTGGAGGGGGATAAAGGTGAGCCCTTTACTGACGACTGATCGTTCATCCTCTGCAAGGGGGAGGTCTGGGGGGATGGTGAAGACCCGGCAGGGCTGGGTGCTACTGTCTCCTCTGGAGCTGCTGGCTGTGGAGGCGGTGGGCGGAGCGGCGTCAGTGCTGGCGGAGTGGCGTCGGGCAGAGCAGAGTCACTGCCGACGGTGGGTGGAGCGGAGTCGGCGGTGGGCGGAGTGGGCGCCGGCGGTGGACAAGGGTAGTCAGGCGGAGTGGCGTCGGCACCGACAGTGGGTGGAGCGGAGGCGGGTGGAGCGGCGTTGGTGCAGACGATGGGCGGAGCAGCGTTGGCAGGTAAGTCCTCGATGTTGGCGGCAGCGGCGTTGGCAGGTGCGTCTTCGATGTCGGTGGCATTGGCCTCGGAAACGGAGGCGGCGGCATCAGCAGTGGTGTCGATGGCTTTCGCTGTACCAGAAGTGGTGTACCCAGCGGCGGCGGATGTGACGTCATCTGTGGGTGCCCCAATAGTGGCCACATGGCCGATGGCAGCGGGTACATTGTGGGGAAGGTCCTGGGTAGGGTTGGGGATTTGCTGGGTGGAAGAGGCCTGTGTTGGGTGGCAGGCACCAGTAAGTTTAGTGTACTTACGGTTTTTAATGTCCAATAAGGCAGAGTAGAATCGTGAGTTGAGGTTGTGGATCGTGCAAAGAATGAAAAACCGGAGAGGTCCTTTGCAGGTATGGGAGAGGGAGGCTCTGAGCTGGGGTAGGCTTGACTGTAGTGCTAAGAGATGCCGGCGCATTGCTGCGAGTGTGTTTGAGGAATCGCAGAGAGAAACGTTTTTGAAGGATCTGAATCTTTATCTCCCCTATCTTTTCCTGCTTTGTAAATTTGGCAGTGGGTTTATTTATACAAAAAGAGCTGGGGGTGGGGGTGGGGGGTGGGGTGGTGGTGAGTGAGGTGATTGTAGCGGTGATGCGGTGGTGGTGGTGAATAACTTCTCTGGACAGGGCAAGGTCCAGAACGGCGAAGTGGAAACCAATCTTTTTACTTGTAAAATCTCTGCAAGTCTTTTGCCTAATTTAACATACGGATATGGTGTATGAAACATTCACATCCCTCGCTTTGTAATCCCTTTCTATTCCACATGCCTCTGACATACATTTTCTTCTCCAATTTTGGCCTCTGCTGCATCCCTGTTTTTTTAATTATTTCAGCAGCGGTGGCCATGTCTTCAGTTATTTTGACATAAGCTATGGAATCCTTTTGCAAAACACTTGTGCCTTTCCAACTCCCTCTCCTCTTTTAAGATATCCCTTAATACCTACCTCTTTGATAAAGCTTATGGTCTCTTGTCCCAGTATCATCTTGTATGGCTCTGTGTCAAATTTTATCTATTTTCCATCTCACCCTGTAAACTTCTGCCTCAATGTCTAGTGACCAGTACCAGCTCAGAATCCTCCATCGTCAGCATTCTGGGGGTCGCCACTGACTAAAAATTGAACCGACTTGTTATATAAATACAGTTGTTACAAGACCAGGATAGATGCTGGGAATCCTGCTGTGAGCAACTCCCCTCATGACTCCCCGAAGCGTGTCCAGCATCTACAACACACAAGTCAGGAATGTGGTGGAATGTTCCTCGCTTGCCTGGATGAGTGCAGCATCAACAACACTCAAGAAGCTCGACACCATCCAGGACAAAGCACTTGACTGGCACCCCATCCACCAACTGAAATAGTCACTCTCTCCACCAATGAAGCACAGTGACAGCAGTGCGTACCATCGAAAAGAAACACCCTAGTGATTTGCTGAAGCTCTTTCGACAGCATCTTCCAAACTCACCATCTTTACCATCTAGAAGGACACATAGAAACACCACCATCTGAACGTTCTCATCCAAGGCACACAGAATCCGGACTTTGAATTGCATCACTGTTACTTCGCTGTTGCTGGGTCAAGTCCTGGAACTTCCTTCCTAACAGCACTGTGGGTTCCCTACCCCACAAGGGCTGCACCGATTCAAGGAAATAGCTCATCACCACTTTTTCATGGGCAATTAAGGATGTTCAGCATGCCAGTGACACCCATTCCATGAATGTACCAAAAATAAACTAGAAAAATAAAGAAGCCCTCAATCTCATTCCTCATCAAACCATTAAGACAGACTAATCTTTCAGTTAGGTCTGAAGAAGGGACACTGCACTCGAAACACTAACGCTGTTTTCTCTCCATAGATATTGCCAGATCTGCTGAGTTTCTCCAGGAATTTCTGTTTGCTTCATATCTCCAGCATGTGCAGTTCTTTGTTTTACTCTAACCTCTAGTTCTCTCTCCTGATGATATCCTGTTGTCCAGTTTCATTTAATACATACTATAATGCAATTTGTCTTCCATTCATATACTATCTGATTTAACACCCTATAATCCCTCAATCTATGTCCTTGATCACAACCCACTCTAAAAAACATTTTCAGCTCTCTCTGTTCTTGCATCCTGGTTAGAATTGTACCAT